TTTTATTTTATTTTAGAAAAATAAGATAAATATTTTATATTTTATTTTTTATAAAATAACATATATATTTATTATAATTTATGTCTCTCAGAAATAAGTAATAGGTAAATTTTAAGACAAATCACTCATTTTCTATCCAATATATTGTCATTACATAATAAAACCTCAGTCATCATACTTCAACAGTATGATGAAGCTCCCACATAATTTTACTTCAAAGTCGCATCTGTAATTTTATTTAAATTTCTCTTTACTCTTTCTTCCTCAGCTATATCACTCTCAGACACAGCAAGCAAGTCAATTGTATTGTCGATAACTGGTCATTTAGTCTAGAATGATTGCTTCTTCACCTCTTTAAGTTATTGCTGACATGTTATTTTTATAGAGACTATGCTGTTTAGTTTGAAGAACAATGATTTCAGTTTGAAGACTAAGGTGTGCCTGATTCTAGCCAGGGTCTTTTTAATCATGTGCTGTGCATCTGAGAGTTGGACAGTTAAAAAGGATGACAGAAGGAAAACTGATGCCTTTGAGTTGTGATGTGAGAGAAAACAACTGAATATCCATGTACTGCCAAAAGAACAAACAGATATGTCTGGTAAAGGTGCAGCCAGAGTGCTTCGTAGAGACAAGGATGGTAAAACTTAATCTAGCATACTTTAGACATGTTGCTAGGAGAGGCTATTCCTTGGAAAAGGATACCATGCTTTGAAAAGTTGAGGGTCAGGGAAAGAGCGGAGATGGCTTGATGTGGTGACTGGATTCACGGGCTCTACTGAGTTAGAAATGGTGAGAATTGAAGATGGCACAGGATAGGACAGGATCCAGATATGTTGTTCAAAGGGTTGCTATGAGTACTCAACTCTATGACACATAAAAACAACAACCCTAATTAAAGTTCTATTTCTTCCACTATCACCTCCACCAGGAACTCATGATAGCATTGAGCTCCTTTATCTACGCTTACTCTTTATTATTCTGCACAGTATTTATTCTGTTTTGTGTTTACAGGACCCACTTGAAAAACTCACTCATTGCTGTCAAGTCAGTACTGACTTGTAGCTCACCATACAGCAGGTTTTCTAAGATTGAATCACATCCCATGGAGCTGGTGGTAAATTCTAACTGAGAGAGAGAGACATGGATTTTGGAATACCAGCAAAACCCCCTACAGATTAGACCATCATAGCTCCATGGAATGACACTTTTTTGTTGCTGTTGTTGTTAGTAAACACCACTATATCCTCAGCAGCTAGGTTACTGTCTAAAGTATGGTCCTCCACAAACATCATGCTTGGAAATATGAGGAGACAGTTAAAGGGAGGAAGATCTTTGACCAGGTGGATTGACACTGTGACTACAAGCAAGGAGCTCGAATGTTTCAGAGATTGTGAGGATAGGACAGGACTCAGGTCGGTTATTCATAGCATCACTATGAGTTGTACTTGACTTAAAGGCACCTAAAAACTATAACAATGAAGGGAAAAAGAGTGGAATGAGGGGAAAAAAAATCCTTTAACTTTCTATTATTTGGTTTTCACATTCCTATTATATTTAAAGATTGTCTCTTCCTTTTTACTAATATCTTTAAAATTACATCTGTATAAAAATGTGTAACTTTTAAATCAGTGATATCTACAGGGAGTATTATTCTCCATATAAAAGTAGAGATGATTCTGACAGTTTCCTCATTCTGCATGTTTTCTCAAAGACAACTGACATTATGAAACTTTTTTCAGGTACCTTAAAAATTCTGTGGTAAACTTATTCCAAATATAGAAATTTAAGATTTCTTAATTCATTCTGTTTTTGTTGTATACTGTCAAGTCAGAACTGACCAATAGCTGACCCTCCAAGACATTTTCAGAGGCAGTTAACCACATAGGAGGAGATTGCCTAAACTCCTCTGGTAGAGCAACTGTTGGATTAGAACTAGATGCCTTTGGGATTGCAGCATGTACATTCTAAAATTTCCATTTTAGGACATTTTCCTTCGTGTTGTTGCTGTTTTAGCAGCCAACAAGTTGGTTCCAACTCACAGCTACCTCTATGTGCAACAAAACAAAAGTACTAGCTGGCCTTGAGACAGCACCAAATATAGTTCTTATTATATTTGAGCTTATTATTGTTTTATTGTGTCAAATTTCTTCTGATAATCTACCTCATTTTTGTTAACCCTTCTCTATATAAAAATATTCTCCTTCTCCAGGGACTTGTCCCTCCTAATAATATATCCAATGTTCCTGAGATGAAGTCTCAAATTCTTGTTTCTAATGAGCATTCTGGCTGTATTTCTGAGAAGACAAATTTGTTCTCCAATAGTCCAACAAACATTCAATATTCTTTGCAAATACCGTAATTCAAAGTCAACAATTCTTCACCTTAGTCTTCATAGTGATGTTTTTGTCTGTTTGATACTTTAAAGAGCTAATTTTCAGATTTGCTCCAAGCAACATGCCCCTCTCTCAGGGAGAAGGCAAGGTAAAATCATTATATTTAGCTGGCACTTACATAATTTGGTCCTCCAAACGAAACAAAAACCCTCCAACACTTAAACTCATTGCTGTCAAGCTGGAATCGACCCATAGCTGGTCCTCCATTGGGTTTCCTAGACTATACATCACTAAAAAGGAGAGCTCTCATCTTTCTTCCAAAGATCCACCGATAGAGCTGAACCACCGGACATGTCCATCCTTTGAGTTAGCAGTGCCAGCACGGAGGTCTGTGCCACCAGGCTTCCATGTCTTTCCTTGTAGGACTGTTATTCAATACATGATTTGATCCCTTCCACCATAAACAATACATTAAAATACTTCAACACCTGTTTTTACGGAAGTTTTAAAAAATATCTGCATGGCACTTCAATGACTTTTTTTTTTTTTTTTACCACTAACATGGATTGGGGTTATTTTAAGGATTTCTCATGTAATCTATAATTACATACTTTAAATTGCATTTATAGGCCCTCCCTTTCCTTATAAAATGCTACAATGTCTAAAATTTCTCATTCTGGAGTACAAGTTGTCTTTTATTTATATGATGATGTCTATTTCCCTACAGTTCAGAATAGCATAGGGAGTGACCACACTAATCCTTGTTAAATATACAAAATGAGCAGTTCAATCTACTTTTGTCACTCAAGTTCAATAGAAATTCTCGTTTAACCTTTTGAGAATTTTTTTTCTTTTTTTTTAACCTTTTGAGAAATTAAACTGCCACAAAGCAATTATAAAAATTAATTAGATGGTCTTTAATAATAGGCCATCTAGTGAGTTTCTAAAATGCTTCTATCGTGGCTCTTTTTTCAGCTTTCATATATGTTTTCAGAGGTAAAAATCATCTATACTGTACTTTTTTAATCTATTAGAAAGAATAATCTTTTTTAATAGGAAGTATCTCATTTATTTTACTTACTTTTGGAAATTCCATGAAAACAGAGGGGTTTTTGGGATTTGATGGTACTATTCTTCCTTTTTCTATTCTGTTTAAATAAGCTGCACCTTCTCATTGTTATATTCAGTTAAAATTTCTGTTGAAGAATTTCTGATAATAGCTTTTTGGAATCACCGGTCTCTCTCATGTTTGTCTCTTTAATTTTCCACTATGATGCCTCTTTCTACCATTATTTACTAACTTTTTTTTAAACTTTCTTCGACTCATTTGTAAAAAGGAGTGATGTTGCTCTCAGGAGATTGTTGTGAACATTAAATGAGATAATAAATTCTTTCCTGATATAACTAGAGAAAATGCAGCTCTCTTTACTGATAAGCCAGATGCAAATGAGAAGCTCTCATGTTAGAATAGAATGTGCATTGCTGTCCACGCAGAAGTGGGTTGATTCCTGTTCAGTTTTATTTTCTCTGACAACCATATTTATGGAAAATGTGTTGTTGCATAAATTTATCTTTAACTTTCAGAATATAAATGGCAATTATAATGAAATGATTATTCATAAGTATAGATGTTAAGACACAAATTTGGTCAATAATAAATTCTTTGAATTAAGGTTAGAAATAATTTCTAAAATCACAGAGATTTTATTTTGATCATTATTCATTCTTTAAATAAATATCTAATATAATTGAGTAAAACACTCCAAATACTTTATAATGTTTTCTAAATAAACTTTATGTAAAAATAATGACATTTTTAAATCTTATAACTCTATGTGTATACATATATTGACTAAATACAATTTCTCAATAAAAGATAAAGAAAACTTAGCTTCAAAATTGATCCACTGCTTCAAAATACTGTTCTAAACATACTTTCGTTTTTATTTTGCATTATTATACCATGATATATTTCCTTAAACAAAAAATTTAAAAATTCTTAAATTTAGGTGACAAGGATTCTTAAATTCATAAAATATCTTGATGTAGGTGTGTGTGAAATTAAGATAACCTGATATTGCACATAAACTCACTAATCCAATCTGAATAAATATTTTTAATTGAAATATAATTTTCAATTTAAATTAAGCATACAATATCTTATCATTATTTTATTTCTTAAGAAAATATAACAGGCTACATACATTAAAGGTTTAGTCAATATCTTCTAATTGGCACAATTTTAAACAATTGACCAAGTTCAGGGAACTTTTATTTTTTCCAAATAAATAAAACCAAATATATATCCATTCTTTCAACAAATACCTGGAATACAGTGAATTATAATTCATTTTTTTTGTAATAATAATGCTCTGTCTGAATGTTTTCTGACTTGATTTTATAACATTATAGAATTTTTCTATAACAATGCTTTAATACTTTTCCTTTTAACCACCTAAAACATAATCTTAAATTTGCCCTGTTAATGTTTGCAAATTAAATTCTTATCATTCTTTTAATATTGGCAATTCAGTTCATATTATATATTGGCAACTTACTGAATTGGCACCAGTATCTTACAATTACCAGATAGATATCTGATTTTCAACAAATCGTTTTGTAGGTAGTCACAACTGGTTTTATTTATTCCCAGTAAGGACTTTAACATTAGTTCAAGTGAGCTGACATATTTAAGGCCTCTTTCACTCCATTTAATGGTTGCATCTGGTTGGAGCAAGAATGATGACAAAGGTCTTGACCTTGGAACACTGGCTGGATTAAAGGATTCAAGTGGATGATGGAAGTTGTGGCTGGATTCAAGTGAGGGCTGAACAATGCTGGGATAAATGCTGCAGGGGGCAGGGGCGGAAGTGTGATATGAGGGGGATGAAAAGGGGTAGCAGTGACTAAATGCAGGGGATGACCTGCTATGAAAGTGGGATGTGCTGGGATGATGGCTGGCGCCAGGGGTGAAAATGTGATGGGAGCAAAATGTGGTTGAGAAAGAGGATGCAGTTGAGTTATTGGTAGGTGATTACTATGAGGATTCAGGGAAGCAGAAACAGCGATATGTTGGAGCAATGTGTGGTGGATGGTGGTTATGGAAGCATGCTGGTGAACTGGAACCGCCTGTACAGCTGAGGCTGGAGAGAAGGCAGGTGGTCCCGCAGGAGGCAAAACTCGAAGATGCTTTGCTAGGAGTTGTTTCTGCATATGCTGTTGGGCTTGTAGTTGAAGGAGCTTATATTTATCTATTTCATCAGCAGAAAATGTTATGGGCTGTTGAATTAAAGGGGGAGAGATAGATTTATGACATACTTCTAATCCATCTTCTATGTTGTCATGCTTTTGCATAGTTCTGTCATAATGAGAGTTTATGTTCCCTTGTACACAATTCATATGTATGGTTACATCCTGTAGTTCTAGATTTTTTTGGTCCTCTTTGGTCTCTGTTGAACTAGTAACACCAATATATCTATTAGATGGTAAAGCACCAGGTAAATCATATGGTACTGGGTCAGAGCTTTGAATGAAAGTTTGGACTTTACTAATCAAAGATTGTGACTGTTCTTTCTTTGAGTTCGTACTGTTTGGTGACTGAGACTCTGCTATTACCTGAATTAAACCTTGAGAAAGATGCTTAGCACAACCACTGTCTGTGAAAACAGACTCACTTGTCTGTGAACTTTTTGCTGTGTCCTCAGTAGTTCTTATAGATGTACGGGATTTATTATGTTTTCTTTTACTCATGTTCTGTAGTTTCTGAGAAAGAGACACTGCTGGTTTGGGACAGCCTAGTGGGGCAAATTTGAGTGTGCATTGAATTTGTGAACAAGCTGCAGATTCATTTTTACAGCTTGGTGAAGCAGTCCCAAAATTGCTTGCTAGCTCCTGACACTTCTTGGCTTGCACCCTTTCTAAAAGGCTCTTAGCTGTCAGTGGGGTTCTCTCTCCGTTTAATATGCTCAACTCTCCGCTTTCTGAAGGACCACTGGAATGATTTCTTAGAAGGCAGCTGATACTCCCAGTATCACACACCATAGGTTTTACTTCTCCCAGGTCACAAATATCAGAACTGTTCAAAGTTTCCTGACTTCTTTCATTTTTCTTTAGGTGATACGTGCTCTCTGTTGAGTCAGAGCCCAGTTGGCTGTCTTGAAGGCTCTGGCAAGGAGGTGGGTTTTCTCTGCTTCTCGTACAGGAAATTGGTGTGCTGGGATCACCATGGATCATTTTCCTGAATTTTGATCCCAGAAATTGCGGCTGATTTTTTCCCAGTTTGTATCTTTCCCTGCAGTAACCGTCTTTATGGTTTGAGTACTTTTCGGTTATAAATGACTCCCACAAGGGACCATTTCTAGTTCTGTGTGTTTCCGTCTGAAGGCAGTCGCTCTTCACCATCTCCTCAGGCAAGGAGAAGCAATTGTGCTTTTTGCGTTTCCGTTTGTGTCTTTCAACTGGGTTGCATTCTCTTTTACAAAAGTAGAGCAAATTACCCCTATTGAAAAGTGCGCTGAAGTCCTTCTCCTGCTCACTGTGGCCCCCTACTGCATAGGGACTAGAATCCCACTCAAATTGGTTATGATCTGCAAATTCTGACGGAGCTTCACAGGGAATCCGTTTATGTTTCTTTTTAGTCCTGCATTTATAGGGCATAAAAGATACCCCTTCATTTGCATTATTTAGAACTACTCTTTGGCAGCTTTGCCAATGGATATTTGACGATTCTTTCGATTCTTTATCATCATTATTCTTACCGCCTTCACAGTCCTTTAGAGAGATTTCAAGGTAAGCAGGCACTTGAGGATTTTTCATATCCAAATCACTTGTACTGCAATGATGTTCAGCCATAATTTGCTCAGAATCCTTCAAGTCCAAATTATATTTTCTCTGGAAATTTTCCCAATCTGGATTAATTTTAATCATCTTTGGTTTTAGAGATTGATTATCTTCTTGGATCATTTCATATTGGTCTTTGATTAAACACGAGGATTGGCTCTCTATTTTAGTCTTTCTCTTACAAGGTTTCTTCCCCAGTTCCGCTTGGAAGTCTTCTGGATCATGGTCATCCTTCGAGTTCCGAGAAAGCTTGAAATCAAAATATAATGGGTTGCAGCCATAAGAGATACAAGGCTGTGTTTTTGTAAAGAGCAAAAGTTCTGTAGGCCACTGGAGAGTGGTGTGGCCGTCCTTGCTTTGTACATGAAGAAAAGGCAGTTGTTTAGACTTCACGTCATGGAGACATGTTTCTCTTATGAGCCTTTTCATATTTTTGCTCACTTTTCCTGTTTCATCTAAAGATTCATCTCTGTTCTCAGTTCTGGGATTGTGACTCAGGTGTGTGGCATTGCTTTGCTCGCTTGGCTCTGGTGAAGGAAGTGCGTCCAGATGTTGGAGTTGTCTGGCATCACTGTGCTTGTAAATACATGGTGGGCTGGAAGCAGCATTTTCCTGGCTTGGGTGATTACTGTGGTTTTGCCAAGCATTCTTCCGTGTATTTGGAGATTCCTTTTCTCTGCTGGAAGGTGTAAATTTCACATCTGAATGATGTGTGCTAGATTTAGAGAATGAAGCATGAATGCCAAATGGATCTTTAAGAGTCTCACCAGTAGAGTCATTTTTGTCTTGCAAATTATTAATGCTAAAGGAGAAGGTATTGTGCAAAACACTTTCCAGATGGTGTGGTGCAATGTTTACATCTTTTTTAGTGAGGTGTGTATCCTTGTTTGCATATGTGCAGCACTTACATGTCTCTGAGGCTTGGTGTGTTTTATAAACTGGTGACTTGCTACAATCCTGATTTTCTTCTGTGTTCTCACTAAAAACCGAAGCAGAAGATTCTAATTTTAGATGCACTTTTTTTGAAAATGAAAATGATACGCCGATCTTGTGACTAACAGTGTTTGGGTCTGGTGATGTTTGTGACATTCGATTTCCAAACAAGTAACGTCTGTCTGTGGGCAACTGGTGTCTGTTTGGCATGATGGATCGCTGTTTATCAGAAATATTTCTGGAGAGACTTCGTCCTTTCAGGAGATGAGCACTCTTCATGCATGTTGCCTTTCTACCATTCTTAATTGGGAAGATTCCTTGCTCGAGTTGCTTTTCTATTGTTATTCTGGAAGCTTTGTAGGATGGTCCATTTTCAGAAACACTGTAAATACAACAAATATTTAAATGTTAAGACATTAGGCTTGCGATCTGAAATATGTGTGAACATTTCACAGTATTTGTGGATAAGCTATTTTACTATTTACGTATTGTATCTACGAAAGATAGCCATTTTATTGTGTTTAGACAACTCCATGTACCTAGTGTTTTATAGTGGTTATTTATAAAATGAATAAGTGCACTTTTAAAATAGGTAAAATATTTAGTAAGTGAATTTATTATGTTTGTGTTGTATTTATATCATAATGTATATCTTCTAGGTCTTCCTATTTTCTTGAATTACATATCTGTAACAAAGATTTTTTTCAGATCAGTGCCTTCACATGAAATGATAAATTGAATGGTATTGTAAACACTACTGAAGTACTGAAGTATTTCTTCAGTTATATTTTTTTGCATACATTTTGCATTTTATAAGTTTTGGCCCTTCAATTTCAAAATTATCTCATTTTTTTTCTTTTGGAAAGAGTTCTCCTTTGTGACCTGCCACCTACTCAGCTTTAATTATAGTAAATATGTGGTAAAATTACACATATTTACAAACCATCTCAGCACCTCTAGAGTTTAAAAAATTGTTTCTTTTCTCCTTTTTTAGTAACAGAAACACTTTCATTCTTTCTATCTTTTATGTATGTAAGCATCTTAATCTTTTAGCACTTTTTAAAAGGTTATTCCACTGAGATGTACTCATAATTCAAGCAGAAAACTGGAAGTGTCAACACGTGTAAGAAAGAAAACTCTTTAGATTAAAATTATATGACCCTTTAATGACCTAGATGTAACATCTCTAATACAAAGAGGGTTCGTAGGATAAAGATGATTCAAATCACAGCATTTAGCCAATTGTTTTGACTTTGATTTCCTTCTCCCCTCCCATGCTTGGCTGTATGTTTACACTTTCTATTTCTGATCTCTAGACATCATTATCCAGTCAGATATTCTTGAGCATAAAATAAAATATATGAGGTCACCATGAGTTGGAATCGACTCATTGGTAACTGGTTAAAATACTGAAAGGACTATCTTTCTCACATGAAGCTTAACTATAAATGGGGAGAGAAGTTCTTTGAGTGCATGATCTGAAAAATTATTTCTGTTGCCTTCTTAAGACTCTATGGTGAATTGTTGGTCTAGCGTTATTTTGGCTTTGTTCACCAAATTTAATTTGTTTTCTTGTATAAAAATATTTTTATATTGTAGAGCTACATCTCATTGTTGTTAAGTGTCAGCAAGTCGAGTGCAACTCAGAGCGATCCTACGAACAACATACCTGAATCCTGCCCTACCCTTATTTTCTCTGATATACTAGAGACCATTTCAGAAGTTACAATGTCAATCTATCTCATTGAGGGTGGTCTTCTCCTTTGCTGACCCTCTCTCTATCTTTTCAAGCATGGTGTTCCTTCCCAAGGAATAGCATCATCTAGATCTGAATCTCATTAGCTTCCTTTTTTTTTACACAGATATGCTTGTTTGATCCTATGAAAATTTACATGTAATATATAAACTCCCACAATGCCATCAAGTTGGGACTGACTCACACCTGACCCTCCTTGGCCAGCTTTCTCCTGAAAAGCTATTGATGACTTTGAACCACCAGAGTGGACTTCCTTTTGGGATTCTCTATGAACTATGTTAACAGAGCTCCCTGGAAATACATATGTATATGTTATTCAAGATTTTTCAAACTAAAGTCACCTTTTAAGACAGAGTAGAAAAGTCCCATAGGGTTTCCAAGGCTATTATCCTTTACAGGAGATTTCCAGGTCTTACCTCTCTCAGAGGCATGCATGGTTTTGAATACTGGCCTATTAGCTAGCAACTTAACCACTGCACCACCAAGGCTCCTTAGTATATACACATAACAGGTTTTTCAGGACAAAGCTATAGGTAAAATCATTTTGGTTCATTTGTATTACTTACATATTTGTAGCAGTATTTGTAGCATATTTGGGATGAAGCAGGTTATTTTCTTTATTAATTTTTTTATTCTACTTCTGATAACCAAAAGGTTAGTGGTTCAAATTTACCATCCATTCTCTGAGATTAAGATAAGGCAGTCTGCTCTCATTAAGATGCATAGCCTCAAACCTGATAGAGGTCCCCATGATTGGAATCTACTTGACAGTTGTGAGCAAAACTCAGTAGAATTTATTCCAAAGGTCTGGTAATAAGATGTTATTCCTCACTACCCTCTATATGTGGTTATTTTATTATTGTTATATTCCACTGCTATTCAGTAAGAGTTTAACAGTGGGTATAAAGATTCATGCATTTCTTGTCATTATTCTTTTGTGTTTCAGGAAAAGAACATTATATACTCTTGGCACTGTTCTGTGTATCTTCTTGATTTATGTTAATTTAAATGTTATTTTGTGTGCTACTGTTCTATCATTTATCTTTCTAGGAGCTTCTTTTTTTAATATTCTTTTAAAGATTTTTAAAACTCTGCTTTATTGTTTTTGTATTACTCTTGGTACTTAGCTTTCTGTCGTTAATTCTGTTCTCACTTTATAACCTGATCTACATTAACATTTGTAGTATTTTCAGTTTAGCATCTTATCATTAATCTTTAATACCTCTCATTTTCTAGAATTTAAATATTTTCTCTTATTATTTAAAATTTTTATTTATTTTTACCTTAAATTAATTTTTCATTTTCTCCACAAGTCATAATTTTCTATCTGTATTGTCTCAAATTATAGTTTAATATAAGCTTATATCTTAAAGTAACGTAAAACTTGAGTTTTTATAGTTAACTTTTTATTATAATACTATTCTTTAATTTTAATTTTATTTAATTTATAATGGCAACAATAATTAGGATAATGGGGTTAGGTGTATCAGAGTCCATGAGACTGGCTAAGGATAGGGTAGGATTCAGAGCTATTATACATAGGGTCACTATGAGCCACAGGTGACATGATGGCACAAAACAACAACTAAGAAAGTGACTAATTTTTACTTATTGTCTATTCAAATAGTTCTCCAAAATTATCATTTTTAGAAAAATCTACAGTTAGATTATTGAGTTCTTTCCAGTGCAAAAATTGTAGTTTCCAAGAGGAGAAGAAACATGACTTCTAGTAGCATCTTTCTTAATATCCGACATATCCAGTTCTTATACAAAAGGCTTTATGTTCTCAGAGTTAATGTTCTTAAAATTTTAAATTTAAGAAAAATTTCCTTATTAAGATGTACTGTAAGGTTCTATTGATATAGTTAGTATATATATATAATTATTATTATTATAGTTGTACAGTAGGAGAAATTTATGCCTATGTAAATTTCTCCCTTATAATAACTGGTCTTGATAAGGAACCAGTTTAGATTGAACAACCTTTAGTTATATTGCTAAGAAGACAGCCAATTATAAAATCCATCACCAATTATCTGCTAGCATATTTCTATAAGTTTGACTCAAAGTCTTACTATCAGTAAATTCATCTCACTTTCCTATGTTGTTGTTATGTACCATCAAGTTGGAATGAACTCATAGCTGACTCTCCAGTGAGTTTTCAGAGGCTGTAAATGACGTGAAGTAGATTGTCCATCTTTCTGCCATGGAGCAGCTGGTGGATTCCAACTGTGTATCCTTGAGTTGGTAGCACAACTCCTTACCACTAAGCCACCAGAGCACCCTATAGGATCACAGAAAAATCTTGTTACGTGAGTAACCCAACTTAGAATCTTTTTAAGGATAATGGATAAAAAGAGGTTCAGTTGGAAAAATAAATTTCACTTATCTGCATGGTTAAGTTTCAAAGACTAGGGCTTTATGTGAGAAGCAGTGTTATTCAAGAATGGAGTGATGCCTGCGTGCCTGTATTGGGAATGTCCTGCCAGCCTTCTTTCAAATTGATTCATCACTGCTTTGCATAATGGGTGGTGGTGGGGGCTAGTCTTCTAATACCAGGGTGATGCAAGTGTCCTTTCATTCCACGCCTAGGATTCAATCCCTTTGCATTCCTTATTGCGTTTTCAGGATGTGTGGTACTGGCTCATTCTCTCAGTGACACCAGAAAGTCTTTTATGACTTCCCCTGGGGCACAGGGCTCCCTGTCTTTCAGCAAGAGGACATTCGAGCCATAGGAGGGTATGTGTATGCTCTCTCCTATAGCCGCTACCAATCTTCTGCCTAAGCCTTTAAATATCAGATGAGATAGTTGAAAAATCAGCATGGTAAAGGAGGATTTTTAAAATTTTATTTCTTCCATGTGTAAATAGCTGCCAAAATAAAAAAGAAAATCTTTAATGATTCTATAAAGTGATTTTCTTAGTTCGTGAAACTGACTGAATGGAGCGAGTGGTTGGCTGGAGGGGAACATAACAGAGGAGAGTAAAAGAACTTTTTTTTTAGCTCTGTATTCTGCATACGGAAAGCTAGGTCCTACTTGTGGTATTTTGGGGGGTCTTGTTTGTTTTTCTTTCACCTTTTATGTTGTTAGACTGAGAACTAAAGAACCAACCTAGCTGTGGCATAGTTTACTGTTTATTTTTTGTTTTTGTTTTGGGGTTTTTTTTTGTTACTAAGTCTTCAGAGAGACAGTCTAACCTTAGCATCGCGAATCTCTTGACTGGGAAGCTAAAGTATAATTTTTAAACCATCACCAAGATTCTTCTGATGTTTCTCAGAGGAAAATAGAAACTGGATCTATAGAAATACAGAAGGGTGAAAACTCTCTAATAACACTGAAAATGATGTTTAAGGCTACTCAGATTTGCTGTTGTGTATAGCTTAAAGGACACATGCCACTCTTTATAGCAAGATTTACCTACGTTTTAAAGTATCTGACTTATTGCACCATATAATTAACCTCTCCAGAAATCACATTTTCCTAGATTTTCAAATGCTAATCTGACAATAATAAGGCTTTTCTTTTATAAGTCTTATTTTGACAAAGACTGAACTTTTTTATTGTTGATATAGTTAAATAACATATTTTAAGTGCCTTGTTTTGTAGACTGGTACCAAAATACGTATTCTGTTTCTGTGAGTGTATGAGACTTCAGAGCATGCATTAATTGATCTTTATTTTCTCTTTATAGAAAAAGAAATAAAGAATATAATACAAGTATCTTTTCAGTATCTTATAAGGTAATTATTATAAGACAGAAGTATAAATACATGAATATTTGCAAGTTCAAAATGAACTACATTTTTCTTATAAATGATTCTAAAAATTATTTCCTTGGAAGCAAATTTGAAGTCCAATATTTTGTAATAATAGAGTTGAGCCATTCATTCCTAAGTTTATTGTGTATTGTTTTTCATTAAAACAACAGGGGTTCCAAAGTCTGACACAGAGCTATAAATTTCACAATTCACCAGGTTGCTGTCAACTACATTAATTAGCTACATTAGTGTTCCACATTATGATTCATATGAACACAATTCACAATCTGTAAACTTAATTGAGTTCCAGCTAACAGTCTCCTCACTTTGAAATGCTGAGCAGTTCCAGCAGTATGTGAAACTCTTTTTCAGCTACAAGAACATATTAGCGGAATGCTTGTTATATTATAATTATCAATTTAAACAGCACTGTGTAGTAAATTTAACTACATTAATTACATCTTGTTTGTCATCCAGACAACAATAATGTCATTTATTCTTGATTCAAGTATGCACAAGGGAATGCATGAAAGATTTACTCCAAAAAGAGACATTGTAATTATAGCTTGTAAAATTATTATTATAAAACTTAAATTAGAAAGGAAGTATATCTGCCCATTTAAATCAATGGAATAGGATAAATGTTGATATTTTAAAATCATTCTCAGACCATTTAATTAAAGACCACATATAACTAACACGCTGGGAAGGGGAAAAAAACCCCAGATACAAAAAGTAATTAATTTAGAAACCTTTAACTATTAGGAACATGTGCTCTCAGATAGTTGCTGATTAATTATAATTCATTTACATAGTTACAGGGCAGAGAGTCAATTTATCACAAAAATTCCCCAGATGAGGAAAAGAGTTTTGAACCATCACATACACCTCTAATTCTTACCATTCGGACTTCTGCCTCAACTCAGCCAGTTGATGGAGACGTTTAAGTGCTTTTTCTTGTTTCTTCTCATCTTTCCATGACTTGGAAGCTACATTTCGAGCAAATTCCCGCTGCTTTAATTCTTTCAGTCTCTGTAGGAAAGAAGAACAGAAAAGATACTATAAATAACTAGCATATTCTTTCCCATTTGCTGGAGCCCTTATTGCACTTTGACCTGGGTAGATAGGTGACATTCTGGATAAAGACAAGAAAAGTAAAGATACTGTGTTCTGCTCTGAGATAAATTAGTAGATGAACGTAGTTGTCAACTGAATAGTTTATCTAACCTTGTCAATGTCACTGCAGAAGTGTGGCACAATGCTGGATGCCAGTTCATGTTGGAACCACTACAGATACACAACTTGAATCCACTGACCCACTGTGTGCCCATGGAAACCCAAGTGAGAAAAATACACATATATAAGCAGCTATGATGGGGGAGGAGATACAGAATTTATTTTTCTCAACCTAACTTACTAGCTTCTTTATCTGTAGAATATTCTTACATTCATGAAACATACTGGTTTATAGGAGCTTGTTTCTTTAAAGACAATGATAATGGTGGAAGGTTTTCTTTTTTTTAAGTTTATATGAGATAAAATAATGATAAATATCTAAATGAGATATTTATCAGATGGAATTTCTTCATTATGTTCAGAAATATGTAAGTGGGCCAAGGATTTAGGCAGAGTTTTGAGGTTTCATCTTGCTTGATTTAATTAGCCTACCACTTTTTAAAATTAATCTTTTCTCTAAAACTATTGACTTACATGCAAATCCAATGCTGCTCCTTATGTGTTTGTATATCTACTGTAGAATCTGCCACTAGGCACTTCTAATAATACTGAACAAATTGAGAAAAAAACCACAAACAAATGAGCATCTTGGGGTTTGGGACCTAATCTTAAACTGGGAATGCACTGGAAACTTAACTTCTCTTAATGCACACAAAGTGATACACAATTATCTTAAAATTGCATCAGTTCAAATTTATTTATATTTCTCTAAGTGTAAGAGACTTTCTCAAATAGCCTTCAAGTAATGTAATCATGCAGTGGCCAGCTGTTTCCCATGGGCAGAACAAAGGCCAAAACACTTCATGATCATTAACTTCTTTCTCATGGGAGAGGGTGACCAGGTAAGTGTATCTGAGTGAACTGAAAACAAGTGAGATTAGCTTTACAATGGGAAATATCCTGAAGAAAGAGTTTTGCATAACTATAAACAGGAAATAGTAGAATCAACCTGAATTTAATATTTGCAAGTATTTCAGAATCTTCCTCAAAATTGAAAATTTAAAAAAAAACAAAATTAAAGATTCTCACCACTGGGCCAATTGGCAGCATCATTATGGATGGTGAAGAGATTGAGATTGTTAATTTTTAGTTTGCTTGGCTCCACAATCAACACTCTTCGTATCAGAAGCCAGGAAATCAAGAGATAAATTGCACTGGGAAGTTTGGCTGTCAGGAACCTCTCCAGAGTACTGAAAAGCAACAACGTCACGCTGGAGACTAAGGTGTGCCTGATACAGGCCATAGTCTTTGCAATTGCAAGCTATGAGTCAGAGAGCTGGGCAATGACTAGAAATGATAGAAAGATAATTGATGCCTTTAAGCTGTGGTGCTGGAGAAGAGTGTTGAACATACGCTGGACTTGTAGGAGAACAAACAGGTTTGTCCTGGAGAAGGTAAAACCAGGCTGCTTTTTTTGGAGGCAAGGATTCGGAAGCTTCATCTGACATACTTTGGACATGTTGCAAGGAGGGACTAGTCCTTGGAGAGGGATGTCATGTTTGTGAGGGTGGAGGAGATGGATTGATTCAGTCACTGAGGCACTGAGGGTAGCTGTATCAGAGACAATAAGGTTGGCACAGAATAGAGCAGGGGTTAAGCCTCTTGTACATAGTGTCACTATGAGTTGCAAGCGACTCAATGGCACATAATAGCAACATGTTATGGGGGAGAGGGGAAATTATCTCCAAATGACAGTAGAGAGGGGGCACTTTTGTGACCTAGTGGGTGAGGAAATGTGCTGCCAACACTAAGGCAGGAGGTTTGAAGTCATCAACTTCTCCTTGAGGGAAAGGTGGGCAGTCTCCACCCAAGGGCATACTGCCTCTTAAAACCTCCTGGAGGATAGCTATGAGTCAGTTCCAAATCAAAGACACATGACAATGACAGAGAATCCTTTGAATTGCTGCGTTAGTCAAGAATACGGAATATCCTAGGGTCTGCCCATACACAAACAAGCCTGTCTGAGAAGAAGGATGACCAGGGTGCTCTTTCGAGGCAAGGTTGGTGAATCCTTGTTTCACATACTTTGGGCATGTTGTCAGGAGTCCTTGGGAAAAGACATCATGCTGGGAAGGTGGAAGGTCAGTGAAAGAGAGGAAGCCCCCCAATAGGATAGATTGACCCAATGGTTCTAACAGTGAGTTGAAATATGTGGCAGACAGTGAAGATGGCTCAGTACAGGGTAAGGTTCAGATCTATTGTTTGCCAGTTGCAGTGAGTCATAATCTACTTGATAACATATAACATCAGCAACAAAAGTAGCCCAGTAATTAAAGCCTTTTACTGTTGAGCAAAAGTTCAGGGGTTTGAACCCATTAGCAAAGGTTTTACTTTGTGGCTTACACTTTCAAGAAAGAGATTATAAAATTCCCATTCCTACTCACACACTGCTTCATCTCCCAAGTGCATCATAACCAAGGCCCTGGTAAAGACCTTTTGGAAACTCTGATCCCTCATAAAACACAGTTCAATTGTATTTATGAGAGAGAACTTCTTTGAGGAAGATAAGGTGGTGTTTTCACTCTATTATCACTGAACTAAACATATAATATATTCATTTAATTTAGTGTTACTAGCATGCACAGAAGCCTTACTGGTAGAGTGGTTGAGGCTTCATCTGGTAATTGAATGGTCTCTAGTGGCTTAGTGATAAGAAGTTGCACTGAAATCCCAAATTGATGATTTTCAAATACACCAGTTGCTCTGTGGAAGAAGGATGGGCAACTCTTCCTGTGAGATTTACTGTCTAAAACCAGTTGAGGGGTCAGATATGGGTCAGTTTTGACTTACCAGCACAAGGCAAAAGTCATTCTGCCAGAGAAAGGTGGTTGAGTCTGCTTTCTTAAAAATTCCAACTTTGGCAACATTATGGGAGGTCCTACTCTGTCCTTGAAGTTTGTGAGAAGTTGGGATTTTTTTTAATAAGGAAAAAAAAAAGTTTATTAGGTAAAGGAGGGAAAAATATGATTCCTCATTAAGTTATCCAGAAAATAGTAAGTTTCCAGAAAATGTCTTTCCCATGAACAAACAAAAATTTACAATAATTTTGGTCCAAGATATGTTTTTCCTTCTTTATCATATGAAAGATGGATGGATGAAGCCGAATCTATGAACGAGTGTACTTGCCCCAAATGTGCAACATAAATAAAGAAGTGATGAACAGAAGACTCATAACCAATACTGGAACAGGGCCAACTTTGAGCCCCTGTGAATCCTCCGTGTATAATCAGCACGTTTCTACAAGTGCCTGCTGAAGTCTTGGGGCCAGCGCTCCGCAGCTAGTGTATTCCCTCTCCTAGTTGGGGGATCTTGCCGCCCAGGACTTCACTGCTTTGCTGGGAGAACACCCTGCAGAACCCATGTTAGTGCCACTGGGGGTCGGATCAGGCATGTTGGAGACTGGGGGGTTGGAAGGACCCTAGCAGCAGAGCAGCTCTCGGAGCCGGTAGCTGGAGAGACTGCTGGAATTATCTTTTTAAGGGCAACAAATATGGATAAAATATAAAGACTTAATAACCAAAATAAACGTAAATTATCTAAATATATAAATCAAAAGACTAAAATATCAATTTAGGTTAAAAAAAAAGACCCAACACACCAAAATACACATTTATGCTGCCAACAAAACCATGTAGTTAGAAGCAGTGAATGCAAAAGGCTAGGCCACAAGGACGACAGAGAAAGCTGGAAGGGATAGACTGTTCAAAGACAAAGTTGCTTTCAAAGCAATATTTTCATTCCAATAACTTGACATTCAGATTAAGATTCTGGTTTATTTATGTTCTAAGTGAATGATCTTTTCAGAAATCCTTTCTGCAATGACTTTTTTAATGGGATATTGAGACTTTCTTCTCTATAGACAAATATTCAACCATAAATCTTCAGTGTTTAATTTTCTTACTACAAACCACTTTGGTATATACTTTACACAAAGCCAAGACAGTGTGGTATTTACTTACTGATACTATTGAGCATTAAAATATGTTGTAAAGGAAATTTTATAGAGTTCATACCTAAATTCAGATGTTTAATTCTTAAATTGTTTAAGAGGAACTTATCAGTGGGTCTTGCAGAAAAGAGGTTAAGGTGGGTAAATAATAAAGAACATGGACTTCCAGAAGGATTTGTCTGGGAGACAACCCAATATAGTGATACAGCATTTTCATGACAGTCAAGTCTTCATTGTATCTTTACTCACTGACTTTGATACTCCAGGTAAATCATTCAATCTCCTTTAATCTCAGCATACCCACCTTGAACTGGTCAACATAGCTTGCATATATGCAGATAGCGTGTTTTGGATTATACTTACAGTCAGGAATGGTAAAGCACAAACCACAGTGTCTGGCATACTGTAAATGCTCAATAAAGGTGAACTATTATCACTTGAAAATCCGAAAAGGTGAGATTTTTATGGGACTTGGGATATCAAGGTGAGCAAGAAATCACAAATTTACTGACCATGTAGACCTGTTATAAGTGAGTGTTTTAGTGACTTTTGTCTGCGTAGTTATAAAGTCTGGTTGATCGTTGTTGCTAAGTGCCATCTAGTTGGCTCTAACTCAGTAATCCTATGAATGACAGATTGAGACTTTGACTTATTCTGCAGTATCTTCGTAATCTCTGTGATGCACAATCTGATTTTTTCACAGTCAGTGAATCAATCCATCCCCTCTACTTTTTCCAGCATGATGTCTTGTTTCAAGGACTAGTGTCTCCTAACCATGTGCCCAAAGTATTTGACACAATACTTCACCTTCCTTGACTTAAAGGAGCACTCTGATTGTTGTTTCTAT